CCATCTCATGTACACCGTACACGTAATCCACACAGTCCTTAACCTCATAGCAACAATCTTCCATCATCTAGCTTTGGTGGTTCATTGTCGTGACGTGGCTTCAGCTCCTAGAAGAGCACGTAATGCCCTGGGACTGATGATTTGTCTGCATAGCTTGTGTACTCAGTGAGCAAGAGGCTTTTCTGGAGATGGTTGAGTTTGGTTTGTGCCTTCATTAGATCTTCTTCACTGGTTTTGTCTGTGTCGATGCTTAGTACAACGTTTCTTCACTCCACGAAACTGAATTGAGGTGCCTTGTTGTCAAACCAGTCACCTTTAGAATATCTCCTCTATTTTGTATCTGTAATTCTGTATAAACCTATTTACGGAAAAAGAGCCCCAGGTTTCTTGTGTTATAAGTTACCTTCATTACATCAACATATTAGGGCTGGACATATATACCGCATATTAGGACAGAATCCAAACCGAGATCTTTCGAATAAAGAATGAAGACCACTGTTTTTTTTCCTTTTTTCGGTAAATCAAATATATTATACCATAAAGAGTTTATAAAATACACAAACATGTTCGATACAATTGTTAACGTAAATAAAAGAAACTGGAATCATTTTTGATGAATGAGTGGATCAAGCTATTTTTTTGGAAGTCTTATAGGCTAACATATGAAATATAGTACGATCCTTTTTTTTTTTTGCTAAGTATTTGAATTTCATTTAAAATAAGAAGGTTTGTAAAATATTACAAAAGGTTAAGACGATTAGGAAAAGCCTTGGCAAAAAAGAAATAAAAAACAAGGATGATCCTAGAAAAATATTACGTGATGGATGTGATTTTACTCGTATGTGAGCCAAACTTGCATTAGGTCACCAACTTGTATCTTTGATCTTTTGGCTAGTATTGTGTCTCGGATTTGTCGGTCTATGATTCTGAATATAACCGGAGGAGGTATTGTTGTGAAGCCGGTTGTTCCTTTCTGACCATATTCCATATATTGTGGCTTGAGCAACAAGGCGTCTTAGTGTCCTGGATACTGTGTTGTCTCTTTTGCCAAGCCAACAAGAGAAATCATTCCAAATGCAAAAGTTAAAGGTCATGTAGCCTAACCGTTTGTTGACCATATTCCAAATGTCCATACTCACTTCACAGTACAACCCTTTCGTATACTTGTAGATTGAAACTCCGAAATGCACATCACATTATTTTGAGTTACTAAAAGTTATTGAAATATTAACTTTTGTATTGAACAAAACTAACAAAAATCCTTGCTTAAAACGAAATAGAACCAAAACCAAACCTAAAACCGCGCGAAAGTGAAGAGAGGGCCTAACCTGCGAGTGTAGTGATGACGAGTTCATAGTTCTGACCGATTTCGACACTAACTCCAATTTTTTTTTTATTATTTATAAGTAAAGAAGGCAAGTCATGTTAGTTTCTTTGCAAAAACAAATAACGTAACTACAACAATAATAAAAAAAAACCATTATAAGACATCTAACGGTCATATAATGTCTCATTGTAACTGCAATCGACGTTGTCTCACTTTCTAAAACTAAACTCCCGATACTGCTATCTATCTCGATAACCCTTCTGTCACGATGTGTTAATTGTTTTTCGATGTAATTAAAACGATCTATCTTTATTAATTAAGATGTTTTGTCATGTATTATGGTATAGTTCGTTTAGTTGGAAATTTTCCTATATATTACTCTAGCTTTAATAGTACCTACTGTATGTGCTATGTGTAATGTGTATGAAGATAGAAGGACCTTAACCCCAAGAAAACAAATGATATAGATTAAACGACTTGCGGTTCAGAAGAGACTAGGGTCAACGTTAAAAGGTTTTTTTTTTTGAAAAAAGGGCCAACGTTAAAAGGTTTTGTTAAGTCACTACAGCATAAACCCTTTTTCCAAAGTATTGGCCAATACAAAAACCCAACAAGACAACTCAATAGGACAATGAAATAATATTCAACTTAATGCAAAGTAGATCGCAAATATCTTCAAAATAAAACAAATACCCAAGCAATAGTGTACTTGAAACTTCTAAATAAATATCTATATCGTAAAGGGTCTCTTCCCTTTCTATCACCAACGGAAAGATGATCAGACAAAAACATCATTAGAAGTTTAAAACATTTCGATACTAAGCTCTTTGACCTTTTGGAAGTTCCTTTAGCTTCCCCACTACCGCTTCTATCTCCAACTTGTTACGTAAAGCAATCGACGACGGTTTGATTTTCAGAGTCTTGACCACCGTCCCTTGCGTTATCATACGCGAGGCTAACGCAAACTCTTCTTTTGAACCGCTAAAGTTAAAGAGCCAGACAGTATATGCACGTAAGAAAGCATTGGGAAACGGTTTGGTCTCTTCCCAAAATTTATTTTCTGTTCTTCCAATTAATGGAAGACTCACCTTCTTCCCTCCGAGCATTGTTGTTCTATTTATTCCAGAAACAAAAAAAAAAAGAAGGATGTATCAGACCTTAATATATACATATATATATTACTTGCATGCAAAGGTTATGAAAATATAAAATTGCCTTATTCTATGAAATAATAATTTGAAACTTGAAATGAACGTACCTTCAATAAGATCTCAAGTTCATGTATTTCACCAGGCCATGCAGCTATGACTTTTTTCAGCATCTCAACTTCTTTTGCATTTTTCAAGTCTACACTTACCGACATCGAGGCATACTTTGTCAGATATTCACTTGCTTCGCTCATCATGAATTCATGTCCAATGCTTTTCTGCTCCTTAGATATATTTATATATCAAAGATGTATCAAGTGTTAATATCATACAAGAATACTATTTCACGCAATAGAAATACATACCTGATGGGGGCATGATAAATAACAGCTGGCGTGTGGATGTATTTCTCCTGTAGTCCAATAATTTCTGTTAAACTGGAGTCTAGGGTTTGGAATGACGAAGTTCTCCATCTCACACGAGAGAGATGTGACTATGAAGATCCCAAGATTTGGTGTAGACACTTCAATGCCATTAATTTGATAACTTCATAAGTACAAGACCTTTAAGTTGTGATTATCAATCTTAAGACCACTTGTTTTGTGGCAATTGATGGCAATTGATGAAGGGCAAGACAAGAGGACTATGTTAAAGACTCCAATCTCGGCGAAAATATCAACTAGTTTTAGATTTTTTAGATTCCAGCAACTGTTGAAAGCATGTGGAGATTTTAAGTTATACCGCCTAGATAAAGTGATTTAGGTTTGGATGGGAAAATGATTTAGGTCTAGTTTGTCATAGGAATTGGTTTCACATGAACCAATGATTGAATCCATGACTCAAGCATCCCGTTTTCACATAGCAATAATTGCTATGGGTAGTAGTGGATTGTGTATCTTTCCAAATGGTCACGGTGATCGTTTATATTATGAGCTACAAGTCCAGAGAATGGTTTAGTAAATGAATGCTTCTTGAGTGGTGGAAATCAATAAATATATACAATGGCGTTTATTTGTGTGGAAATAATATATATGGATTTCTTCACCTGTCTTGATGTGCGTCTTCCTCCACACTTCCTCCACCGTCCTTAGACACCAAACCATTCAGCTTCTTCCTCCACACTTCCTCTCCATCGAAAATCCCTTTTTCCTTGGCGTTCCTCAATGAAACCTCTGAACAATCAAGGTGCTCGACAAGCTCATAATCAGAGTATTTAAGGAGATAATCGTCGTGAATTAAGTTCTGTCCCGGGATAACACACTTGTTTGCTTGTCTGCTCTCGATTATGCCAGATTCACATGGTACAACTCCTCGATTCATTATTCTGATACTCATGATCTTTGCCACAAATTCTTTCATACATGTTTAGAATCCTGAGAGATTCTCTTCATAGCGACTTCAAGCTTCGTCGTCGAAAGAATCCCTCTCGAATCTGCCGGCTCCGAGAAGATCTTTCTCTTTTAATAAACTCTTCAATCAATTCTCCTTGAATCTGAATCGATTCTTCACGAACTAGATTTCTCAGTCATCAATCTCTTCTTTGAAGTTCTTCTTCCTTCTCACAATATAGAAACCAAGCTAGATCAGAAATCAATTTTGTAGAAATCAGAGGCGTCGATGAAAGCTTCTCCGACATCGACGACGAGA